TGATTATGTGTGACTTTCCAAGTTAGCCTTAGGTAATCTCAGATTATTGTCCATCATGGCACCATTCTACTAGGGACGGAATGGGGTTGTGACACCCCCGGTCCAGACGGTTTTAATTTGGCGTGCATAAAAAAGTGTTGGCCTGTCATGAAAAGTGAGATTGTTCAAATGTTTCATGAATTTCACACAAATGCTAAGCCATCATCTGGGATTAATAGTTCCTTCATCGTGAGATTGTTCAAATGTTTCATGAATTTCACACAAATGCTAAGCCATCATCTGGGATTAATAGTTCCTTCATCGTGCTTATTCCTAAGAGAGATAATCCTTCAGGATTTGGAGACTATAGGCCAATTAGCTTGGTCAGCTCCATCTACAAGATCTTGGCCAAGGTGTTGTCCAAAAGAATGAAGCAAGTTCTCTCAACTGTGATTAGTGAGGTGCAGTCAGCTTTTGTCAGTGGTAGGCATATTTTAGATGGTGTGATGATTGCCAATGAAGTTGTAGATGGGTGGCACAGAGCTAGGAAGAAAGGCATTATCTTGAAGTTGGATTTCGAGAAAGCCTACGATTCATTAAGCTGGGAATTTTTGCTATCAATGTTGGGCAGTTTTGGCTTTGGTGCAAGGTGGATTAGGTGGATGAAGACTTGCATTACAACAACTATGGTGTCTATATTAGTTAACGGTTCACCCTTGGAGGAGTTTTAACCACAAAAGGGGTTAAGGCAAGGTGACCCTCTATCTCCATTTTTGTTCATTATAGCAGCTGAAGGTCTTAATCTTTTGTTGGGTAGGGCTATTGAGAAGGGCCTGTTTAAGGGTGCATCAGTAGGCTCTGATCAGCTGGGCATCTCTCATTTTCAATTTGCAAATGATACCATCATTTTTTGTGAATGTGGCATGAAGGAAGTCTTAAATATTAAGAGAGTTTTGAGTGCTTTGAGGTGATCTCTGGTTTAAGAATAAACTTCTACAATAGTGTGGTTTATGGGGTGGGTTATCATGAAGACCTGACTAAGGATTTTGCTAAGGTGTTGAATTGTCTGCCTAAGAAATTGCCATTTAATTTTTTAGGCTTGCCTCTAGGGGGCAATCCTAGTAGAAAGAGTACTTGGTCTCCAGTAGTGGCGAAGTTTCAGAAGAAGCTCTCTTCTTGGAAAAAGAGACTGTTGTCTTATGCTGGTAGGTTGACTTTGATCAAATCAGCCTTGTCTAATTTGCCTATCTACTTCCTGTCAATCTTTAAAATGCTAAAGGGGGTCGTAAAGTCTATTTCTAAGATTCAGCCAATTTTCTATGGGGTAATTCTGCTACCAGCAGAAAAGTGCACATGGTCAAGTAGATGGAGGTCACAAAAAGTAAGAATCAAGGAGGCTTGGGAGTTAGGGACTTAGGTATGGTAAATCAATGCTTGTTGCTAAAGTGGTGGTGGAGGTATAGCAGTGATGATAAAGCTCTGTGGAAATCAGTGATCTGCTCTAGGTATGGCAAAATTGGTGGGGCATGGGCACCTTCATTGAATCAGTCAGTAGGGGTATCATTGGTTTGGAAGGATATCTCACAACTTTTTGTGGCTAATCAGCAAATGGGTGAATTTTTTGGTGAACAGGTTAAAATAATAGTTGGCAATGGGAGGAGAATAAAGTTTTGGTATGATCCTTGGTTAGGTGGCAGAGGCTTGAAGGCTGATTTTCCTAGATTGTTCAGTTTATCCACAAAGAAGGAGGATTCTTTACAGCAACTCAGTGCAAAGATTGGTGCCTTAGGAGGATGGTAGCTTCATTTCAGAAGGAATCTCTTAGCTTGGGAAGAAGAGGATCTGCAGAGGCTGTTAGGTATGTTGTTCTTATCTCCTAGTCTCAGAGATGGTGTTGAGGACTCATGCTCTTGGTTAACAGAGAAGTTAAGGCAGTTTTCAATTGCCTCTGTGTGGAGGTAGAGGGCTGCAGCTAGTAGGAATGGTCTAGTAGTCCCAATAGGCGTGTGGGTGAGATTGGCCCCTCCAAAGATGCAGTTTTTTTGTCCAAAGATGCAGTTTTTCTGTTGGTTGGCTTGGCGTGGCAGAGTTAAAACCTCATTCTACCTTCAAAGAATTGGGGCTCTTTATTTGAGTACTAGTAATCTGTGTGTCTTTTGCCAAGCTGAGATGGAAACTGTTGAACATGTGCTACTACTGTGTCCTTTGGTGTGGAAGTGCTGGTCTCACATGGTAGAGTGGTGGGACCAGGTTTGGGCTATTCCAGGTTCTGTAGAAGGCCTGCTGCAGTGGTAGAATGGTGGCAGGTTCAAATTCAAGTCTTAGGCACTCAAAGTATGGCAGATTATTCCCTCTGTAGTCTTATGGTCAGTATGGAAGTTGAGAAACCAATGCTTATTTAAGGATGCTCTTCCTGAACTCTGTGAACAAGTTAAGTTGCAGGTAGCTTTGTGGTCCAAATGGCACTTGAAGGTGGATTATTCAGTCCATGATATAGTGTCCAATCTCTACCAGATCATATTACAGTAAGGTTTCAGTACTTCAAAGGTTTGTTGTTCAAATGTGCAGTGGGCTTAGTAATATCTTATTGGCAGTAGGCATGTGCTCTAGATTCAGGTGGGGTGCAGGTCTTTTGTCTAATTTAAATCAGACCAGGTTTTAATTATGGGTTTGTATGGATGGACTCGAGTTGTTGGTAGTTCATCTGGTATGTCTTGTTCTGCTTAGTTTTTTGCTATCTCTTAATTGAGTGTTGTGTGTTTCTAGTTTATATCTAGTGTGTGGCAGAGCTAAGCTGGTCTGGTTTTGGCCTTTTGTATTTTGTTGTTTGCTGTTGTAGTATGCTAATGTTTGGCCTCTTGTATGTCTGGTTTGGGTTGATGCTGTTAGTCTGGTGCTCTGTTTTGCTGCATAAGGCTGGTGGTGTGTCCTGTTAATGCTAGTCTGTTGATTTTAGGAGGGCTGGAAGATGGACTGCTCTGTGTAGGAAACAAGTCTATTTCTGGTAGTGTGTTGCTCATACAAGGCATCAGTATGATTTTGGAGTATGTTGCTCTCAGTTGTCATGTCGTTCTGCTTTTTCAGATTTGTTGTTTGTTTGATGCTCAGATTTCGATGCTCTTTTGCTTAGTTGTTCTTTTGTTTTTTTCCCTTCATTTCCTTGTCTTTGTTTTGCCTTATTTGTTGGTTTGTCACCAACTAGGAGGTTGGAGCTTCTTCTAGCTCCAAACTCCTCTTTATTGATGTAATTCGGTTGTTTTTCATCAATAAAGTTTTTTTTACCGATTAAAAAAAAAAAACCTTATGGTGTTGATGCACGAAACAGATAAGATAAAAATTTTGGAGACAAAGTGACATGAAACAGGTATTTTAAGAATTATATGTGAATTTTATAATTATTTCACATGTAATTAGATCAATTCGATTCAAATTAAAAAATTTGTGAACAAAATTAACAAAATTAAAATATGAAGAATCGAAGTGACACATAATACATATTTTAGGGCCATATGTGTTTTTTTTTTAATTTTTATTTATTTATTTTTAATAACTGGGTGTTTAAACCATTTTATGCGCATCTCAACTAATTCTAACATTCTAAAGTTAATGATCAGGCAAACCTCCAATAGCCCTAAGGTTTGGAAAGTTTGACCTTTGTAGGATTCGAACCTGCAAGCTATGCGGTGATAAGCCCTTTGATTGTCTCTTCTCTCACTAAGCCAAATCCCTTGAGGTTCTATAGGTGTATTTTATTCTTAACAAAAGTATTATTGCTATAGTATTAAAGAAAAATTAATTCTTATGTGAGAAAATTAATTTTTTGTTTAAAAAAGAAAAAAAAAAAAAACTAGAAATGTTTCTTCTTATTATAATTTGATGCATTGTATGAGATTAAATTCAACAAATTTGCAATTTGCAACGTAACTGATAATATGTCTGGTTGATCTAGCTTGATTTTATATTTGATTTGAGCTAGTTAGGCCATGTTTGTTTAGGTGGACATGAGCTTGGGATTGAACTAATAGTCCAATAAAATTATTAATCCGATGTTTGGTTAAACAATTGAAGTACGGACTAATTATTTTAAACTTGACTATTAGTTAAGATAGGATACATAATCCAACGGATTCGTAGTCCTAGGACTATTAGTCATGGGAATATTAATCCAGTCCGCCCAAACAAACATGGCCTTAGTGTATTATATAATCTTTTCCCAACTTATCCTAATTACTCTGATTAATTAGTACTGGTGTGAATGTGTTTGATTGTGGCTCTTCAGAGTTTCATGTATTTGGATTTTAGTAATATTAGGTATCATGAAAAAAATATTATAAAAATGATCATGAATATTTTTCACCATTAGATTACAGAAAACACCACACACTAATCAAAAAAGGAGAAATCTTCATAAAGGATTTCATAATATTTTTTTCATTATTCCTAATATTATTCTTTGGATTCTTGACGTTTATTCATAAAAGTTCTAAAACTCTATTGGTCTCTATCTCAATTCTCATGTATCGAATTTTTTTTTTATTTTTTTTTTCCAGATTCTTATAAAAGAAACTTGACAAATTTTTGTTTTTGGACTATTCAAATTGTTACTTCGCATTAATAGATCTTATTTCATTGTGAACATAATGATTTTAACGCTGACTGAGGGGATGATAATATAATATTTGAATACAGAATAGAGGAAAAGTTGCTATTTTGGATTCATATGTCTAACAATAAGAAGTAAACTCTCTTTTATTAGGGAGTGAGAATAGTAGTACACAAAAATAATAACTTGAAAGCTGTTTTACAGTAACACTGTTTTAGCTGAAATTACAATAAAAACAACTCATCTAAATATGGGAATAAATAATTGGAGAATTGCAAGTAGCTTTAATGTCTTTCACCGCCGCCAACACCTCCTCCTGCACCAAACCCACCACCATGCCCTGATCCACCACCTACACCACCACCACCTCCTCCTCCAAATCCTCCTCCACCTCCAACACCTCCGCCAGCTCCACCTCCTAAGCCTCCACCAGCTCCGAATCCACCACCTTGCCCTGATCCTCCTCCAGCACCACTAGACCTCCCCCAGCTCCAAATCCGCTACCGTGGCCAGATCCACCACCAACACCGCCACCGCCACCTCCACCTTCACCACCACCAAAGCCACCACCTCCACCCACTCCCCCTCCTGCACCACCACCTAGACCTCCCCCAGCTCCAAATCCGCTACCGTGGCCAGATCCCCCACCAACACCGCCACCGCCACCTCCACCTTCACCACCTCCACCCACACCTCCTCCTGCACCTCCACCTAAACCTCCTCCAGCTCCAAACCCACTACCATGTCCAGACCCACCACCAACACCGCCGCCGCCACCACCTCCAAACCCTCCTCCTCCTCCTACACCACCTCCAGCTCCTCCCCCAATGCCTCCTCCAGCACCTCCACCACTACCAAAACCTCCACCAGCACCCCTACCACCTCCAAAACGGCCACCACGACCACCGAAGCTCCCACCTTCGCCAAACCTCTCTTTCTCAACCTTGTCATCTCCAAGATTAAGGGCACTCAAGTGGAAGACAATGCTCAAGAGAAGAAGAATCACACAAACCCATTTTTGAGACACACCCATTGCCATTGCTAAATGCTTATCAACTCAATTGGCTTGCTCTTTTTCCACTCAAAGTGCTCTCCTTATATAATACTCTCCCCACAAGCTAAATTATATGTAACCATTAATATTTGCAATTTGCATGGTTATTATGTGACGCGTTAGAACCGTTGGGGCATTGGCTTGATCATTAAATGATATGGGTGAGTGTCAAAGTGGACTTTTAAAATTCATTTGATAATGTTGGTCAACCTACCGACGCTCTATCATAGATCATCATGATTCATGACAATGGAGATGAAGATTGATATATACGTGCCTTCATGGGTCATCAATATTCAGTGCAATGCTATGAAAAGAACCATAAAAATGTGTTATTTTATATATATATATATTTGGATAATGGGTGATTATTCAATATTTTCAGAGTATGAATACATGGTACTCCATAAGGTTCTGATTAGTAGAGAGCGGTAGGGGTCACGATTTATGTTGAAAATGAAAAATAACATGGAGTTAAGTAATTGGTAATTGACTTGGAATATGATCATGTGGTATTCCGAAATTATTGAATAATTTTCCTTTGGCTAATAGGGTTGTTCAAAGAACAGTGGAAATGCCATATTCAAACTATAAAAGTGTTAGAATTAATTGATCTCCTATATATATTTGGGATTTTTTTTTAAACATATATTATTATGTAAAAACAATGTAAATTTAATGCATGTATTTTATTGCATTACACATCCTACCTAAGTAGGACCAACGGCAATAGTTTACTCGGATAACAATTGTGTTTTGGATTCTTAACCCATGGTTCTAAGATTTTTGTCAATATTCAATTATTTTAGTACTATTTATGGAATGTCAGATTACTGACTCAATATTCATTTTTAATATAATTTAGAATGGAATTTGGGGTAGTCTTAATCGTCAACTTAAATTTGTTTTTGACTTTAGTATGGAAAGCAATCAAATATTTGTACGGAATCGGTCCTTCCGTCATAGAATGTGAACTTTGGCTAATGAAACTCGGCCCAGGGGAGGGGGGAGCGGTGTGTTCTTGATCTCTACGAAAAAAGGGGTGGCGCTCAAACTTGCTAACTGTCTGTCTGGTGGCACGTGTGCCGCCAAGCGTGCTGGTGGCATAGCGACCTCTTCACTGGCTGGCCCTCTAAGGGCTAGCCGCCGCAGTGCAGGCACCTTTTGTGCTTTCCGTCGGCGAGCGCGCTTCTCCAACACATCCCTCAAGTCTTTTGAATTGTCGGAGCATGAATATCTCGACGCTATTGTCGAACGTAAGTGGTGGTAACTGCTGTCCTGCGTATGAGATGTCACCGCCGGCGCAACGTAGTCTCCAACTCTAAAGCTTCTCGTGACAGAGAGTGTAAGGGTATAGCGTCTATTCTGACTGCCGGAACGACGAGAATGGGCGTGCTCACTGTGGTTCCCCACTCCAGCGATGCACTTTCTCTTCATCTGGCGTTTCATGGCCTCCATCTCCATCGCGATCTTCTTGATGATGATATCTTGATCTTTTAGCTTGTCTTCCAGGTGTTGAATATGTGAGTCTCGCCGTCGGTGATGCTCTTCTGGGCTGACAGAGCGCCCCAGAACTCCTTGAGCGCTTGTTTTGCGCATCTCTGGGAAGTCCTCACGCGGAGGTCTCCAAACCAGCCATCGTCGAAATGGAAAGCAAGCCATCTCTGTGCCAAATATACTCTGGCGTGATGCCATCGATGGCGGACAGCAAAATATCATCGTTGTTCGCCATAAAAGATGACCGGAAAAGCTTAGAGGACAAGGTTTTGTTTATCAAAGAACTTCCCACAGACGGTGCTAATTATACGGTGAGAAAATATGCATCGCTTTCCGTACTCCTCATATCCAAGCTTCGCTTTACTCTAAATAACCTAAGAACACAATGACCGTAAGCTACCTGGCAGGTAGTAGCCGGAATACCCCTCTGACTGTCAAGTTAACATAGTTTTAGAGAGAGAGAAAAGACAAAAGAGAGAGAGCTCTGATAACCAGAAGGTTTCAGTGTCTAAGAGTTTCAGACCTGTTGTATGGAGGCGCCAAACAATTTAAATAGCTCCTGTGCTCACGACCCTACTTGTCCTTTTCTAGACATGTGACTGTACTGCCCTCTCTATTCCTTACACATGCACACGTCAATACTGCCAAACAACATTTGTCCAAATTGCCAAACGGTATTGACTCACAACTTTAGTGGATTCCTCTTCTTACATTTCGATTGAGCCACGTAGCAAATCCTACCGAGGTACTTCCTGCATGGCGCTACAATCCGCCCTTTGGAACCGCATTACTCTCGACCGTGCAAAATCAGAAGTATCTAGCCGACTTCTTTAACCGTACCCATTCGTCCCCGTTGACCTTGCTCGCCAACGTTGAAGTTCCTTGCCGAGCTAATTTTGCTCACCAAGAAAGAAGTTGCCGAGCTGACCTTGCTCACACTCTTTGAAGTTCCTTGCTGAGTAGATTTTGCTTACCAAGAAACAAGTTGTCGAGCTGACTTTGCTCGCCAACTTTGAAGTACTTAAATCGAGCTGAAGTTGAGTAATTCCAATCATGTTACAACAAAAGGGATTTAAGGCCGACGACTGAGCAAAGCGAACCATCAAGCAAAGAGTCTAGCCCGGCCTAGTAATGTAATTCCAGTCACGCAAATGCGGACGGAATTAAGGGGCAATTGAGAGGGGAGTTTGCGCCAAAAAAATGGACTGAGCTAGTTGTGACTTGAGCCTTGCCATTGGATTACGCAACTGAGTTGGCATAGTCGATGGCAATTTGGCCGAGGTTGTATATCATGCGGCTGAGTTAGCCCACGGTTCGAAGTTGGACCGAGCTAGTTGTTCGGCGTGGATCATTAGCCGAGCTAGGTAAGGCGATGGTCCAAGTCGAGCAAGGTCAGCGGGGACAAATGGGTACGGCTGGAGAAGTCAGCTAGACATTTCAGATTTTGGCCAGTCGAGAGTAATGCGGTTGCAAAGGGCGGATTGTAACGCCATGTAGGAAGTAACTCGATAGGATTTTCTACGTGGCCCAATCGAAATGTAAGGAGAAGAATCTACTAAAGTTATGCGTTAATACCGTTTGGCTATTTGGCCAAATGTTGTTTGGCAGTATTGACACGTGCACGTATAAGGAATAGAGAGGGCAGTATAGCCACACATCTAAAAAGGATGAGTAGGGTGGTGCGTACATAAGCTATTTAAACTGTGCGATGCCTCTATACAACAGGTCTGGAACTCTTACACACTAAGACCTTCTGGTTATTAGAGCTCTCTCTCTTTTGTCTTTTCTTTCTCTAAAACAGTGCTAACTTGATCGTCGGAGGGGTATACCGGCCACCACCCGCCGAGTAACTCACCGTCGTTGTATTCTCAAGTTATTCGGAGTGAAGCAAAACTTGGACAGGAGGAGTACGAAAAGCGATAAATATTTGCTCCCCGTACAACTTTTATATTAGTTTGAATTTGTGAGAGAACTATTTGACTTGGTTTGAACTTGTTAAAAATTTGGATTTAATATTTCCTAGTTGGTTTTGGATAAGATTGGAAAGAAATTTTTTTTTTTTGTTTTACAAAAGATCCCTTGGTTATAAATAGGTAGAGACTCTCATTTATTCAATTGTATTTTTTAGTTCCACATGGGGGTTTTTGTTGGTAGGCCTTTGGGTCTCCAGCGTGACCTCTAGTCACTTGGTGTCTAATTGGTGGTGTGATCTTTGGTCAGTTAGTGTCTCCTAATTGAAACTTTAAGTTTCGTGAGATTTGTTTAGAGATGATTTGGATTTGGTGACAGAATTATATTTTGAGCATGATAAGCTTAGTCATTTATGAGTGATTGCTTTATTACTACTATAGCTCTTTGGAGTATTGTTCTCTTTACTAGTAGAATCATTGTGATTGTTTGTAAATGTCGATCTAGGCTGAATCACGTAAATATTGGTGTCCAGTTAGTTTGTAATTGTTTCTTTCTCTTAAATTTGTATAATTCTTCTATCACTACAAAAAAAAAAATTTTTTGCGACGGCAAAACGCCGTCGCAAATACTCCAAACGCCGTCGCTAATAGTTTTTTGCAACGGTAAATAGTTTTTTGCGACGGCAAGTAGGGGGTCGCAAGAGAAGGGGTTGCAAAAGGGCTTTAGCGACCAATTGTTTTTGCGACTGTAAAAAAAAATTTCTGCGACGGCAAAATTCTGTGGCCAAAAAACTACGAAAATCTGTTTTTTTTGCGACGGTAGAGTCTTGCCGTCGCTAAAGGAGTTTTGTCGACTGCCAAATCCCGTCGGTAAAAGTATCGTCGCTAATGATGATTGGCGACGGCAACCTAAGCCGTCGCTAAAGGTCTTATTCTCAGTTTAATTCCTACCTTTTGCGACAGTATTTGAGCCGTCGCAAAAAGCTTGATACCATTTTCTTTTGCGACGGGGGAGCTCCGCCGTATCAAAAAAAAATTTAAAAAAAAAAATCCCTGTACAAAAATAATTAAAAATATAAAAAAAACCTGTATTAAATGAAAAATAATTAAAAAAAATCTAAAAATTACATAATAATATAAATACATACATAAACAAAAGATGGCACATGATGAACATTCATAATGTTGTTCCATTCATAACAATACATAAATAAAAATTATACCACTACATAATGTCGCATAATACATACATAATATTGTTCACAAATTTAAATAACATAAATCAAAATCAAAACCAAAAGTTTTCGTCTTGCTTCCTTCGTGGGTTAAAAAAATAAAAGCTGGTTATAATCTTTATACGCCCGCATTCCACAAGAAGAAAACTGCTACTAAGGAAATATCTGAAAAAAACAAAATAAAAATAATTAATAACAATATAATGGTGTTAATATTTTAATTACAGAAAAATATAAAAAAAATTTAACTACTATATAATTACAAAGATAGTTTAGTAAATAATTTTGACTAGACCGAAATCCGACTCTAACTCCCAAACCGGGAACCCGATTCGAGCCCCGTCTTCTCCCACAAGTCTCTCGTGCCTAGGCGGTCACGTGTGCCAAGTTTC